GATAGCAGAGTGAGTGCAAAGGCCACCCAAAACGACGTGTTGGAACATGCATGCATGTGTTGGAGAGAAGGACACAAGGACACTTCTTGTGATTGTGCTTATTCTTCCCCCCTCTCTCTGCTTGGCTTGTCCTTGTGTTGCCATGGGCGTGGTGTGGCTTGCTGTTGGGTGTTCACGTGTGCGTGTCCTGTCCCCTCGCACCGCCTGGGCACACTGTGTGTGGTTGTGGCAGGTTGTGACTGGCACCCTCATGTTTTTGCTCTGTGTATCCTCAGTCTTCTTGCTCATTTCATGACACACACCATTTGGAATTACAGCTTGGATGATGATGGCCTCGGCGACATTGGGGCGCGTGCGGTGGCCGAGGCGCTCAAGGACAACACCTGCCTCAAAACGCTCTTGTGCGTGGTGATGATGAATCTGCTTCGTGTGACATGCATGGTTGACTGGGGTGGCGGTGTTGCATGTTGCACCCCTTTCTCCTCCCCTGCTTGCGCATGTTTGGACGTGTGTTCACCGTCGCTCCCTGCGGTTCTTGTGTGTCTGCACAGCCTGTGGGCCAACTCCATCGGTCCTGAGGGCGCTGTGGCGTTGGCGGAGATGCTGAAGCACAACACAACCCTTGAAATACTCAAGTGAGTGTGTACACGCACACATGCACACACATGTGGGCTGCGTCACTGCCTTGGACCTTATCGTACACATGTGCCCATGTGTGGTTGATGACTGTGTTGCCACCCACAGCAATCATCATCACGCACTCACTCTGACTTCCTCACTCACCTCATCCATGTGGCATCATTCCTCTGCGTGGCATTCACCATACCGTCGTGACAGCCTGGACAACAATCCCATCGGCGATGAGGGCGGAGATGCTGAAGCACAACACAACCCTTGAAATACTCAAGTGAGTGTGTACACGCACACATGCACACACATGTGGGCTGCGTCACTGCCTTGGACCTTATCATGCGCTCATGTGTGGCTGGTGGGGTGGGGTTCAACGACTGTGTTGCCACCCACCCGCGGCAGTCATCACTCACTCACTCACTCTTCCTCATCCATGTGGCATCATTCCTCTGCGTGGCATTCACCATACCGTCGTGACAGCCTGGACAACAATCCCATCGGCGATGAGGGCGCTGTGGCGTTGGCGGAGATGTTGAAGCACAACACGGCCCTCGAAGAACTCCGGTGAGTGTGTACACGCACACATGCACACACGTATGCTGTGTCACTGCCGTTGCACCTTATCACGTGCACATGTGTGGTTGATGGGGTGGGGTTCAACGACTGTGTTGCCACCCACAGCAATCATCATCACGCACTCACTCACTCACTCTTCCTCATCCATGTGGCATCATCCCTCTGCGTGGCATCATACCTCTTGACAGCCTGAGTGAGAACTCCATCGGTCCTGAGGGCGCCGCGGCGTTGGCGGAGATGCTGAAGCACAACACGACCCTCACAGTACTTGGGTGAGTGTGTACACGCACACATGCACATGTATGCTGCGTCACTGCCTGTTGCACCTTATTACGTGCACATGTGTGGTTGATGACTGTGTTGCCACCCACAACAATCATCATCACTCACTCACTCACTCTTCCTCATCCATGTGGCATCATCCCCCTGCGTGGCATCATACCGTCTTGACAGCCTGAGCAACAACTCCATCGGCGATAAGGGCGCCGTGGCGTTGGCGGAGATGCTGAAGCACAACACGACCCTCACATGGCTCGGGTGAGTGTGGACACGCACACGCACACATGCACACACATGTATGCTGCGTCACTGCTGTTGCACCTTTATCACGTGCACATGTGTATGGGTTCAACGACTGCGTTGCCACCCACAGCAATCATCATCACGCTCTTCCTCATCCATGTGGCATCATCGCCCTGCGTGGCATCATACCATCTTGACAGCCTGCAAATTAATCCCATCAGCGATGAGGGCGCTGTGGCGTTAGCGGAGATGCTGAAGCACAACACGGCCCTCGAAGAACTCCGGTGAGTGTGTACACGCACACATGCACACACGTATGCTGTGTCAC